TTCTTGCTGGCGTCCGAGTCGCGACATGGTGGGCGACGGCGTGTGCGATTTGAAGCCCACCGGTGAGTCCACGCGCGCCCGCTTGATGTTCATGTCGCCGAGGTCATCCTTTATCTGTGCGCACAGACAGTGATGACGTGTGGACGGACGACACAATGCTGACACTTAGGAAGAGCTGGGGCTTGTGTACTCAGTGCAATGAGTTTTTTTTTGTAATTTACGGGGCGAGACCATCGCGTAATCGAATAAAAAGTTGCACAGGGATTTGAAGAATGATTCTGAACAGACATCAGCAAATTTTAGTCGGAATCTTTGCATATGGGTAGCAATATCCGTACTGTTCCAAGCTTATCATCAGACTGCAAACGTACTCCATTTCTGAATTAGAATTATCCCCTGATGTGCCTCAATACGCCGAGCATTCGCTCATCCCTCACCACAAACCACAGCTCTGCCCTACGCTCACTCCATAGTAACGCCCGATGAGACCCGAACAGTGCCTGTGTCGAGCACACACCACCAACCCCGCCAGGCGTTACGCCTGGGCCTAGCTACAACGCTAGATGGCCTAGCCAAGGCGCTGTGCAGCGCGTGCGGGCTGCGCCGCCAGGTATGGGCGCCGCCCAGCACTCACCTTATCGAGCCCGCGCTTGAGACCGGCGTCGGCGGCGCGGCCCAGGCCCGGCGTGGAGCGTGGACTCATGTTGGCCGGCGAGAGCTTGCCGCCCGTGCGGCCTGAGCGCAGCCGCACCTCGTCCAGCAACGCGCGCAGCTGGTCGGCCGAGTCCCGGGAGCGTGAATGCAGCAGGCGCAGGCCGCGCAGGAATACCGGGTCCAGCTCCATGGCCGACTCGGCCACCCGACGTCAGCTGGGCCGCTGACGCCTCCTCACTGGTCGGCGGAAGCACCACTTTTAGTATTGGTGACTGGGAGGTGCCAACGAAAGTTATGGGCATGATATGCCAAAATAAAATCAAGAGAACAAAATGAAATACCTGCTACCTCATCGTGCCTTCATTCACGGTTCCTCTGCTTAAAACAGCTTTGGTATATCGCTTCGTTTGATCACAAACAAAAATTTGGCACTTCGCTCTGGTTTTCGGAGCAAAAATTCTGTCAGTGTGGGGACACAGGATGTTTAAGATGAACGTCAATGCTCGGGTTGCCAATAAAATAAGATTCAACCGCCGCTCACTAGATACAGCCAAGCTTGAATAACTTGTTAAAAATCATGCGAAAAAGTTAATGATCCAAGCACTTCTACTCCTTTTTCGAAAATGGTGCTTCTGCTTGGATGCAAAGGTAAGCACAAACACCACTACAGCCAGCACTAGCATGACAGGAGCACATATAACCAAGCCATTCTTGGATGACGTAGCAGAAGGCCCCACGATCCAGAGAAACTCTGTTCAGTAACAATCAGTGAGTCTCCAGAAACATACTCCTTGGTTTAACCTTGAGCCCGGCCAGTAAAGGGTCCCTCAACATCAGAGCCAGCAGATACAATTCAGTAGACAGCTGGTGAACTCACATCGCCATATTGTAACTTGTTTTCCTGTCACATGGCAGAACAACAACCCTTCATGTCAGCCTAACCATACTGCAGTGGAACATAATATTTTTAACTAAGACTGCATGCCCAGGGGGCGGGGAATTTGCGGCAATCAAACAGGCGATGAGAAGTGGGCGTATGCCATCTGCTTGCACTCAGCACCAGGAGAGGAATGGACTTATATGCAATCTCAGATCTGCACGCAATCTGGGCAATGGCATTAAAAGGGTGTTTGAAATGTTCCCTCATATGAGCAACAGTTTCAACATGTCTTGTTCCCTACACATTTTGTCCATACACATTTAGTTATTTAGCTTCACTAATATTTAGTATTTTTAACAAATTATAGATGATACAAGCACTTTAAGATGAGCCTTCAGAAACTATTCATTGCTGGCAAAACTGCCAGACAATGGCATATCACAAACCATGAACATGGGCCAAGAACCACGGCATTCAACAAAACATCATGACCATTTCATTACAAAAGCATTACTACCCACCATCCCCCTTCCCCCCCCCCCCCCTGATGGCACGACACCTCACATCAACTACTTTTTGTATGGTCCCATTTGCACCGGAGGGTGCCTAAGGTACATGAAACAAAGTAAGCTCGCAGCTAGTAAATAATGCATTGTATTCCATTAAATGCATCATACTGGTTCGTCCCGGAATTCAGGCTAAATATACCTTTTCTACTATTTAATTCAAACCTCTTGAATGCATGGGTTCCTGAGATCAGGCCCCGCATTAAGTGTGCTTGTTGCGCGAGTACGGGCCCCCACCACCCGATCACAAAATCCAGATCAATGGTAGAATTCGGTAGCAAAGTTAAAACGTGCCGTCATGCTCGACATGGTCCGTCCTGCCCTCTGACGCCACCTGACCTTTAGCGCGGTTGCTGTCGCTGGCTGCACGATACCAGTCAAGGGCAGCTTGCTGGGCCATGGTAGGGTTAGGCATTACACAGCATTTCCCTATGGCAGCAATCCTACTGTGTTTACAGTTTTCAATGGACCTTAACACGTTGTGAGTTTGATACCAGCAGTCCTGTAGCGATACATGTGCTGGATTGTGGTGATGCATGGGATAAATTAATAGTATAAAGGGGATAGGTTCATCTAGTTTCTGTTACCAAGGGATGTCACCATGGGGGAGATTACATCACCAAGGGGTCACAGCCAGCTTTGGCTGCGGCTTCAAGCTTCAGGAAAAGACTCAGATAAAGATCAGTGTTCCGTTCATGCGTCCGGATTCGGCTCGGGCTTCGGGGGACGTCTCACGGCTGGCTTTCGCCTCAGCTTTGCGACATGCTAAATATAGCTTTGACTTCGTCTCCATCCCATCCTAAAATTCCGGCTTCAACTCTGAGATTTTTTTTCACTGCAGCTATGGGTTTAATTCACATAGACATCCCTGTCTGTCCGTCTGCCACAATCCCAGTCCGTCCCGTTACCCTAACATATCGCATAACTTTTCAAGGTTGCCAGGTATGCACGGCTCAAAGACAAAACTGGCCAGTCATTCCCAAGACCAATTAACACTTGAAGACGACCATAGAAGTAATGCACGAAAAGTAAAACGCAAAACGTTGTATGCATACCAAAGCACAAGACGAGGACATAAGTCCGGAGAAGTTCCCTCGCTAAATGTTAACACCTTGCCTCAACCGCTACGCAAAACCCATATATTTCCTGACCACATTCAGCTCTAGCTGCCGTGAAAGGGGTTTTAGTACCGCAGAACAGCGCTGCACGCTAGATTCGGCTTAGGCTTCGGCTTCAGCCTCGTGATTTTGAAATAATAGCGTTGGCTTTAGCTTCAAGCTTCCGTAGCTTCGCGTTTAACACGCGCTCGGGCGGGGTCAATTGACCCCCCCGAAGGTTTTTTCCCAGAATAATTTCCGAACGGCGCGGTTTAAAGCCGCACCAAATTTTTGCATAGCTGTGGACAATTGAATAGCAGATCGTGTTTGGCATCAATAATTTAGATGTACCGTGTAAGAACGCTGACCTATGGCAGGTCAAAGTCAGGCCATGGTGTCAGCGTAGTCACTTTGTAGGGAATCGTCTCAGTCTGCTGATGCAACAACGGAGCATTACACAAAACCATACATCTCTGAAATGCTTTCTTAGGCAATTCAACAAAGGAATGAGCAAATTGTATTGACCTAGTGTCAGGTATGAAGGTCAGACCAGGGTCAAAACCAACCTATTTCATACTCTAGGGCTTGCCCTGTATGGGATAGTTTCTGGAGTCATTTCATTTCATTCATTTCATTTCAGTTATGATAGCAGGAGCTGCCATTCTATATCTTCCATGAACTTCTTAGAGGTCAAATAGGTCATTGACCCTAAAATGCACCCTGGTCAACATTTGGTTTTTCAGGAGCATGCTGTCTGGCCATAAACTTTGCTGCTTATTTCAAATGCCAAAACTCAGAGCAGTCTTGCTTCAGATTCAACTTCAGAGTCAGGCGGAATGGATTTCATCCCCATGCCTGCCTACACCACATCAGAAGTTTTAGTTTGTAAATTATTTGCGAATCAAATCTTTATTTTTTTAACCTTCATTAGCACATGCTCTTCAGTCATGTCAGGCCAGTGAGTTGCTATGTAACCTCTGTAAGGTTCACCAGAACAGTCATTAATAAAACTCAGTGTTCTGATTTTTCATGGCAAAAACATGCATCGTAAACTAAGCTGAACCTGTGCACACAAACATTCCTCAAGGAACCAGTTGATCCTGAAGAGGTCAATGACTTGTCTAGGCCGTCAGATTGAATATACAGCCTATGGCCCTTTTGAACTTTAGATCAGATCTTGGGGACCATTTGGCATTTGGTATGACTAAGGATACAATGATGTGCATGTCTGTAATTATCACAACTTTTGAGCTTGTTCCAAACCATTACCATTTGACCTAGAAGTTTTTTCAAGGATGCAATAAATGTTTTGAACTATTGTCCTTAATACCTGTAATTGGTGGTGACATGGCTGTATGATGGTGAGTATTTTGGTTAGCTCATTGGTGGCCATCATCAGGTGTTATTGAGTCATGGAAATCGCTAGAAGAGTTTGGCTTTCAGCCATACACATGTTACAGTATAACTCTCCATAATCTGAATTTCATCATTGCAGCTGTCATTGGGTGTTAATTTGGCGAGGTTTGTTTTATGACATTCTAAAAAAATAGCATAAACTATTATGTCTATCATTATGTTATATTGCCAACACAATTCTAGAATAAACTATATGGTATGGTGAGCTTAACAAACAAATAAAACAGCACTATGTCACAACATGGCTGCTTTGATAATTCCATGCATAATGCAAGTTTGATGTCAAGCATATTTTCTTTGACCAATTTGTAATAACATCATGCCTGCATGTGGTTAGAAGCTTTCATAGTGAGTATGGAAAGGGCTAGAAGGGTTTGGCTTTCAGCCATACACATGTCACACTCTAACTCTCTATAATCTGAATTTCATCATTTTGGCTGTCATTGGCTGCCAATTTGGGGAGGTTGTTGTATGACATTCTGAATAAATGACATAAAACTATTCTGTTTATCATTGCTGTCATATCACTAACACAATTCTAGAATGAACCATACAGCATGGTGAGCTGAACAAATAAATAAACAAATTGGGCTGGTGCTGGGGGTGGGTGGTGGTGACAGGGGGGACTGAAGTGCATTTATGAGCATTATCATCTAATTGCTGGATCCACCCTTTTCTGGGTTCCATGCAACCCAGAGTGCCAAAAAATAACAAAAACATGATATACTGAAAATGTGAGGCATAGCAGCAATCCCCATTTAACAGTTTCAGCAATTAGAAGCAGGAAATCTGAGACCTCTGAGTCAGGTCCATGGATGTCACTTATTTCAGCCCATAAATAACCATTGTTTCTAGGAATGTGATGTTTTAAGTACATATGCGCATGAATGGTTCAGACAAATTTGTTGAAAATTTGGCACAATTTGATCTGGACCAAGTCTGGCTGTTCATGCTCCAAGTTACATGCTCAAAACATCATGTAAATCAACAGGACAACAGATCATTGTTTGCACACTGGCATAAAACTGAAGGCACAACTTTAACGCTGAGACACTTCTACTTGTAATGCAGGACTGAACCATACCACAGCCAATTGTTTGGCTTCGAGGGAAGAAAAGCAGCTTTTCAAATAATATTTTTGCATCATTCTACAAAAAGAATACAGAAACACTAGCTGGGTCCTTTTCCGTGAAAAGACTTCAAACTTACCAATAATTCCAGCACCTCACGGGCAGTCTCTGGCTTCACCCGCAGGCACGTTGACTTGCTAGCGCCGAGTGCAAGGCTTGGTCTCTCGATTTTACCTCACCCTCTTTTCACGGATTCGTATGAACAGAGGCGAGGCCCGTTCAATCATATCATAGGCCCAATCATACCAGTAACGCCCCCTGCCAACCAACGCACACAAGAGTCAAGATACCACAACAGGTACACAACGTACGAATGGCGTTTATATACCCATCACGTCCACACACCAAGTACACAAATTCACAACACAAAGGAGCAACCCGCCGTCTTTACTGAGCACCGAATGTTGCGCAGGCCAGACATTTACTAACATAGTAGGGGCTAGGATTTGGAATAAGCGGTTAAGTTAGAATCCTCTCTGCTTTATAGTTAACTATTGCCAATTCTATGTGATACAGTAGGTTAACATGTTAAATTTTTAGAGTTTAATTGTAGAACCCTATAATTCAAGATCGGTGTAAGAATTTTACACCGGTCTCTCTGAAACGATCTACAGCATACTGAATACCTTAGAAGCAAACCCATATCACGTGAAGTATCAGCTGATTTGTTTTGAAATGCTTCTAAATCTGTTCTTGCGTTCGGGCTGTAGCGGTGGTCAGGTGGGGGCTTGGGGCCTATTTGTGGGTTTTCAGCAACTTTCACTGCATTCTTTTCTGAAATAAGATTGCTTATCACTACAGGTGCATTGGAAGGTGAGTGTTCGCAGTCTAGGTTGCTCAATCCGCCTGACCAGAGGGACACACTGCCACCTTTTCGTGTATTGATCAACAGAAAACAGTTTTTAATCTCAAGACTAGGAGATAGCTGTTCCTGTTCCGAGTTCATGGCATGTGTGGCAGGTGGCCAAAATAATGATATAGTTGCTGCCTCGGCTAGGGTTATGTATTGTTTGATACCACACTGCCGTATTAAAGCTAGCCTCCCACTGATTTTTAAAGTCTATATTTGCCAGTCCTTGAATAATCCATCCACTGTTCCAGATGCATATAGGACATCAGTGCACTTAACTTTGCCATTGTGTGTATCAAACATGGGCTGGGTCAAATTACACAGAATTTCTAAGCTATCTTTCTGTGATAAAATTTTGCAAGTGTTTGTTGGAAGCTACTGTTTGGAACATCATAAGTCCATGAAATGTTGCCTTTTTGTTCTGAAACTAGTTGTGGCTATGTGCTAGTATGTAAGCACTTGGATTTAAAATGTGCCTTGCTAAAAGTTTTGTAATTTGACTGCTGTGCGAGACATTTTGGATCAACATGTATTCATTACATTCTGACGTTTTGGTGCAAAATGTCATATCTATGCAAATGTATAGTTTTCTCTGTATGGCTTGTAATAAGAATAACAAAATTATTTAATAAGTAAATACAATTGAATTATTCAAAATGTCTCCATCATATCAAACTCACTCTTTATAACAGTAGCAAATACAGATGCCTTCTGTTTAGAAGATCACTATATGGCAAAGACAAAAAGGTTTAACACATGCCTGGATGACTGGTTGAATGTTCTCCTTTTGGTTTGGGGACAGTTTAACCCCCCAAGATATCACAAACTAAGAGAGCCAGACATACCACATCTAAAGGGTGTGTTGGTCTACATATGAACTTACTTGGTTCAAATTTTGAGGTTTGTAGACTATGACCATTAGGCCAAGTTAGGTCAAACAAGATCAAACTCTTGTGTTGTGTCCTAAGTGCCCCAGACCTTTTCACACAATCACTGTGAACCTAGATGCTTGTTGTAAGCAAAGGATCACTGGTGCTCATTCAGGCTCAGTGACTCTATTTGACCTTTTTAAGGTCATAGGGAACCAAAATCATACAAGACTGCCTTGATTTTTACATTTAAGAATGCATCAAGGATGAGGCTAGCCAGTATGTTCCTAAAAAATTGATCTAGATCATTTTAGGTCAGTGGCCTATTCTGACCTTAAGTCTATGGAAGATATCCAATATGGTTCTTGCTATCAAGAAATTCAAAATTAGCACCAGAAACTACCTTGTACAGTATGCTCAGGAGTAAGAATAGGTTTATTTTTACCTTGGTTTAATCTTTGTGCCTAACTCCAGGTGGAATGGAATTTGTCAATTCAGGTGCTTTATTGTCAAATAAGCTATATCAGTGATGTACGACTTCATCTAACACTGTTGTTGCTTAGAGTTAATGGTTTGCTAGAAAATGTGTTTGCTGAATCCATTGCCTGACTTTGATATGCTGTAGGTTGGTGACTTTGTAAAGTGCTTCTAAATTTTTGTACTAAATGATCCATTATTCCATTGTCTTTGTTATGAAAAATGAAGTGGGGCCATGCCACACCATTTGGAAATATTTATGGGAAAACATTTGGGGGCAGTCAAATTAAACCCCCCAACCCAGCGGGTGTTAAGCTTGACTCAACATCTTGAAAGTCTTGCCTTGTGCATTATTAGCTCATAGCAGTGTGCTTGTGTGCATTATTAGCCCATAGCAGCAGCCATGCTGATATGTGTCCAGATGTAACAGTGCATGTTAGGTATACTTCCTTGGCTTCAGCTTAAGAAAGCAAAACATGCAGTATCATTTCTGTCAGCATTCATTAGTTGCCTCCTACCTTTGTTCCAGCTTTGCAAGCCCGCCATGGAGTACTGGCTGATATCAGCCCCTGGTGAAAAGACCTGCCAGCAGACCTGGGACTCACTTCAGAATGTCACTGCCAAGCAGGGTGACCTGTCAGCAAACTGGAAGTTTCATATTCCAGATTTGAAGGTAAATGATTTACAGAGCTATTCCTGTGTGCTAATATGAGATGAGGGATACAAGACTGACTGACTGAGACCTGGGCCACAACCCTGTCACATTTTACAGAGACCCTGTACTGGCGCTTGCTGGTGGAGGAGTGCAGGACTGTCTTAATGCTGGGTGTAGGTTCACTATTGGCTCAAATTTAGCAGTTTTTGAACATGAACACCCCACTTGTTGTGCAAAAATTAATTCACTATGGAAATTGTCAGTCACTTGTTGCCCTATTTTCAATGTACCGCATTACAAGGAAAATTGTGAAGATGGCATATTATGTTTGGGTCCCATGAAAATTGGATGACTTTGGTTCAGATCTACTGGCTCCCTGTGTGTAATAAGATATTAGGAGCCTAAGCCAACACTGGAGAGAGATGAGCGTAGGGGTAGGGAGGGAAGCAGAGTACAGAGAGGGGGAAGAGAGCTCTGATAGCCTGGGACAAAAAGTGGATGGCTTCAGCTGTCAGGTACTCACAGGTAATGATCGTCAGCAAACAGTTAACTGTTATCAGTTTTGTGGAATCAGGCCAGCCGACTGTTGGCAAGAGCGGTGTTGAGTTTGACTGTTCTCCTGGGTAGAGTATGCTGTCACGTGACTTGTGTGCTGTGTAGTGACTGGGTCAGTGTGTGACGCCCGGCAGGACCGTTTTGGTCGACCGTTTTTTCCTGGCTTTACACTCGAGTGTGTTCCAGGTTGGCACGCTGGACCTGTTGGTCGGTCTCTCTGAGGACCTGGGCAAGCTGGACACATATGTGGAACAGGTCATGAAGAAGGTGTCCAACTACCTGGGCGACGTTCTGGAGGACCAGCGAGACAAGCTGTCTGAGAACCTGCTTGCCAATGGAGGTTAGACGCTGTCCCCTCTGCACAGCAGCCGGAGCTGACCAGTAGCTAGGGTAGCATTGGCTCTGAACGCTTGTCTTTGGTGCGGACATTTAGGATGACCTTGGAAAGTTACAGCATTCCATGACAGCATACATGCCATGGGTGTAACTGCCGTAGTGAGCCCATACTGTGGCGCACGGTGTGTTCAGGAGTCTGATCATTTCAAACTGGTCATTGACAAGCCGTAGATTAACCATCTCTCTGCTGTACACTGTGTACAACAATTGTTCGACCGAGCCTGACACACCGATGGCTGTTCGTGTGCTTCCACCAGTGGACCTGGCCACTTACATCACGCGTTTCCAATGGGATATGGCCAAGTATCCCACCAAGCAGTCGCTCAAGAACATCTCTGACATCATCAGCAAACAGGTGTCTCAGATTGAGGGCGATCTCAAGGTTAAGGCCAACCATTACAACAACCTGAAGAGCAATCTGCAGAACATCGAGCGAAAGCAGACGTAAGCAGTGCTCCGTAAGCAAAACAATAATTGCACTGAAAGGGTCAATGGAATTTAAAGGTTCTCACAGCTACGTTATGTAATGTTGGGGGCGTCCTTCACACAGGCGTTCACCAATTTTGCGCGGGCTCGGTCCAGTTGCTACTGCCATGAATAATACAGTGTCGCGCCCCATTGTTTATCATCGCACCAACTAATGAGCTGGCGGCGGGAGGCGTGTCCGCCGCGCTGACGCAGCCGTGATTTTCAGTGGCTCGCTGCTGACGAGGAACGTCGGCGATCTGGTCAAGAAGGAGCAGTTTGTGCACAGCTCGGAGTACCTCACCACGCTGCTGGTGGTCGTGCCCAAGTACGTTGCCGCTCACCGGTCCGGCTGATGGCCGACGTCCTGTCCGCCCCGACGCGTGCCTCTCAGAGCTGCCGCCAGGGGCGCTGCTCGGTCGGTGTCGTGCTGTGCCGCTCTCCGCCTGCGGGCGGCTCGCGTCAGACCGGCGGGGCGTCTGTGCAGGCGGCGCGGCGCCCCGCTCTGTGAGCAGCGCTTTGAACGGTCGGTCCCTGCCGGCAGGATGTACTACCAGGACTGGCATAACAAGTACGAGCGGCTGACGGACATGATCGTGCCGCGCTCCACCCAGATGGTGTTCGAAGACAACGATCACGGCCTCTTTACCGTCTGCCTCTTCAAGAAGGTGGTGGACGAGTTCAAGCAGAAGGCCCGGGAGAACAGGTCGGCTGGGCTGCCCAGGTCGCGATCGCGACTTTGTTTCCCACAAGACCATCCTTCAGGCTTTGCGTGGTGTGGGGGACTGGCTGTCCCAGGCGGACTCTTTGTGGGCACGCTTTTGTCTCCAGTGTTTCTACTATTGCCATTTTTGCTTCGTGCCTGCTGCTCTCATAACACCTGTCTTCCCCGAAACTTAGCAGATCGAGTGTAACGTTCGTGTTGTCATGGAAAATAACCGAGTCACAAAACATCTTTACATGTTAAGTGATCCAGGAAATGGACAATGACAGACTTGACCTGTCATGTACAATCGTAACGACGGACGGTGTAATTGTGTCCATTTCTCGCATTTTTGGTGGTCTTATAGATAACTGATCGTCCGAATTACCAATCATTTTCACGTCCCAAATCGTGCACTCAAAAAGTGTCGCTCAGTGGAGAACGAAGTGACGATTCAATTTAAAATGAAAACTACCCAATTATCGAGGTGAATACATGCCATTTCTTAAGAGTAAGTTTCTGGAGGAAGGATGCAAAACCTGCATTTTTGTGCTGCTTAGTGTGCAAAAGTATAGACTTCACGTTGAATTTATTTTGCCGCAACCGTGCTTTTTCAATTTGGTTTCAAAATTGGTTCACGTGGAAAGATCGCAGAATCCCCATAACAACATGAAAAGTGAAGAACTAGCCATCTCCCCGAAGAGGAATGCCTTGTCCGTATTATCTACTGAGCTATTATCCTGGACTTTGCCAGGTTTGTGGTGCGGGACTTCACCTACAACGAGGAGGAGCTGGCGGCCGGCAACAATGAGTACTACAAACTGGCCTCCGAGAAGAAGAAGCAGCTGGGACCGCTGGTACGCTGGCTCAAGGTCAACTTCAGCGAATGCTTCACCGCCTGGATTCACGTCAAGGCGCTGCGTGTGTTCGTCGAGTCGGTGCTCAGGTGAGCGGCCGGGCCAGCCCACGCGAGGCGACACACGGTACTCGGCGACGGCGGTTGCTGAGTTTGGGCAGCACAGCACGCACGTGGGCCGACGACGTGTCTCTGCTTTCTAAGGCTTTTCTCGGCGTCTGATATTGTTTGATGATCTCAGCAAAGAATCGTCTTGCAGTCGGTTCTAGTATTGTTTTGCGGTATGCTCGTGCCAAAGCTTTAAGCGTGCTCTCTTACTTGATTTACTGATAATGCCTTGACGTGTAAATGTTTATCCATATTTCGTGCGATCTTTTTACAATAAACCCATCACTTGCGATCCCACGTATGCGTGTTGCCCAAAACCGGTATGCCAGCATATCAGTATATCATTCCAGTGAAGCTTATCGTACAATTTCAGTACCGAGAGAATTTCCACAAAAGGGACGGAGGGCGTTCGCTCTTGCATATGACTGTCGAAGTGTTGTCTCGACGGCCGGGACTTTGTGACAATTCGGTCATGTTGGCGTCATCCGTGTCGAAGCGTTGTCTCGACGGCCGGGACTTTGTGACAATTCGGTCATGTTGGCGCCATCCGGCGGTATTGACGGATGTCGTGCCCTCCGTGTCTGGGGCGGCGGGCAGTGTGGTGAAAGTGTTCGCCGTCGGCGCCGGTGGGTGCGGCCGTGGCTGTGCCTGTCACGCGGTTCTGGCGGGTCCCCAGGTACGGCCTGCCGGTCAACTTCCAGGCGATGCTGCTGCACCCGCAGAAGAAGACGCAGAAGCGACTGCGGGAGGTGCTGAATCAGCAGTACGCCCACCTGGACTCCACTGCCTCCAGTGGCGACAAGCACGAGGTACAATTCCACACCAAGCGCTCCGTATCGTAACTCATGCGTCACTAGTGATTGGCACACACCGTGTGGTAATAGTTACGGGTCATCTCAGTATCATAGGCGCAATATTGGACCAGCAACAGATAGGTGACTGTCACTGGTTTAGTGTTCAGTGTGCCATTCTGTGATCGATTCAGGGTACTGGAGAATGAAAATGTCTCTGCGTTCCTAATGCTGTGCATACGTTTTTAGGTGATGGACATTCCTGGACTCGGCTTTGGTACCGGCGAGTACTTCCCTTACGTGTACTTCAAGATCAATATTGACATGGTGGAAAAAACAAATTAGGCTTCGGCACATCGGAGCTTAGCAGGTGTATGATACGGTGTGATGTGATGTATATACGTGCGAGAGCGCGGTAATCGGAGACACAAATGTAATCGGCGTGTGGAATGATTCCTGGCAATGGGTGTAAGACGTGGCCATCGGCATGCCATAAGCGACAGTAACTATCGTGAATATCTCCAGAATTGTCTAGCATCTGACGCGGCAGGTATTTAGCCGCATTTCTCGGTTCTATAGCTACATTCCAGATTGGTGCTCCCTGTGAAGCCAACTCGGGCTGCTGCCGACGAGGCCGACGCGCGTGCGACAGCCGCGGCGGGGGTCGGCGCGCCGCCGCCCGCCAGCGGCTGCCTCGCAGGTGGCGCCGTGATCGTCGCGCTGATGCTGGGGGAGGGCGGCGGGCGCGGGAGCGGGGCTGCCGCAGCCGTTGTGAGATGCCGCTGTTGTGTAGTGGCGCGGATGTGGGTCGCAGACTACCGGTAGTGCGTCGTCGGTGATTGTGTGTATCCAACTACGCGAAATAAAATGTGCAATGTATGTTCCGACGCGTATTTCGGAATGCCATGAGGACAAGGGGCCGAAAATGTTACCGACGCAGAACCGGATTCGCGTCTGGTTCTGCTTCAGCGGATTTGACTCCGACTCTGGCTCACATGGCATGACGCCTATTTGGACGACTATTGTATGATGCTTATACTTATTTATTCGACGCTTATTGGACGCTTATATCACGGAGGAGCTCAGCGCAACATGGTGCGACTCCAACTGTGGGTGGGCGATGCACGCTCAATTCTGAATTGGATTCCACTGGACTCTGCTGGTGGCAACAGCTTAGGGGAAAAACCTTCTCCGCGGGCTTCGTGAAAGCCTACATGACATCGAGGCATACGTCCAGCTACATTTTGATGTAATTTGGATGGTACACGTATGGAGAAGCCTGCAGATATGTCCTGCTGCATTTTTATTTGAGTCTCACTGATACTCCGTTGCGTCGACTCCTGTTCCAACAGCAAAGCAGCAAAACATTGCAAGAATTTGGTCTGTTCCGATCCGAACAAGTGGCTAATTGAATTGATGTTTTTCATTCTTCAATAACATCGTTGGCAATCCAATATCCGTTCTGCTCAGGTATGAAGACCGCCGATGCTTGTGAGGCTGCGCCTCGGACAGTGGATGTGATCTGGTCTTCATCCCGTGCTGATGCACGATGGCTAACCGGAGCTAAAAAACTGCTGTATCCGAGCGAGCTATAAAGCGATGATGTCCGCCTCGGTTCACATTCAGGGACCGGCGTTGTCAGGCGCCGCGGCCGGCAGTGTGTGATCCGCGAGGAAATCGCGAGGGCTCGTATGACGTCCCCGAGCCGGGGCTGAGGCGTGCCTGCGGGCGGCTGGCTGAACCTCTGACAACTTACCGGCTCGCCGCTCGATGTAATGAACGCCGTGGGTTCAGCAGACCACCGCTGTGGACTCATCAGGCTACCGTTATGGGTTCGTCAGGCCGCCGCCGTGGGTTCGTCAGGCCATCGCTGTGGGTTTATCAGGCAGTGGGTTCAGCAGGCCACTGTGACCGGTGGTCAGGTGAGGAGGAGTCTGCAGCGGCTGTCGGTTGCACCAGCTCGGGCAGCGCTGCACCTCTTCACGGCACCGTGAACGGATCTGTCGATCAGATTTGGGTCATCTTCAATAAGTCTGACCCGGCCCGACAAACGGCGCCAGGTCAGGTCACGCGTTGGTCCGACATACCTGTTACAGGGATGCTCAACTGTCGCATTGCCCAGCGTCACGTCGCGTCACTCAGCGTCAGCGTCAACGTCACTCAGCGTCGCAAGCATTGCCCAGCGTCACGGACGAACCCATCGAGTCGACACTGAGCTGTCGCGTAATGCACGGGCACGGGCGTGCAGCCACAGCTCTGGCAGGAGTAGGGGGGACACAGGGTAGACAAAGGATCCCTGCTAGTGAAAGGCCCCAAAAAGAAATCGCCGGATATGCCCAACTTTTGGTGAGGGCATACGTTTTTTAACATTGTCTTCAATTTGCCTTCCATAACTGAAATAGAAGTATGAAGTTACCGCGAGACAAATTCTGTCTGAATTTTATGGTTAATAAAGCGAAGGAATCATACGTTAAGCAATTGCATGAAATAAATCGCCGGCGCTCTACGTTTCAAATAATCTAGTGGACCCTTTCTAAACAGATAGAACTCAGAAGCTTTGTCTAAATTTGTATCTGATTACTATAGAGATATTAGGGACCCCGCGAATGTAGGTTGTAGGCATGTCGAAATTGATGAACAATTTGCATTAACATGGATAAACTATATTTTGTTCTGGAAATGATCAAAATTCAGTCAGAATAGATTATTGATGCCTTATGTAACGCAGTTTTGAACATGCGCGCTTGCAAATCTCACTAACAAAACCTCGACTCCAAGCGTCGCGGTCTCCATTGGGCGCGCGCCGTCGGCCCTCCGGCTTACACTGAGCCGTGGCCAACGGGCGCACAAAATTATGACGCATCTTAAAGGAGTATCTTTGAAAACTCTGGGATATCAAATGGTACGTTTAAAAAGTAGCCCGGGCGTATATTTCACTGACGCGATTTTTACGCAAGCTGTTCAGCGCACTTGCAAGAAGCATTATTCACGTAGATAGATAATACAGTAGCAATAGCCTTATCCCTCGGAAAAAAAAACAGGAGAATCGAGATATAGATGGGTTGATATTTCGGCAACATGCTTTTATCGAAACAATGACAAAAGAAGGAGTTCAGAACCGTTCAGGAGCCGACTGTTCGGTGTTTCTGGTCTCTGGCCCAAATAAAGCAACGCTCTGTCTCTATGGTCCCGCGCCAGGAAGTGGACCAACGTGATGTGGTGTATCCCTCCCTTCCCGCCAGGGCGAGGAGCTGGCGACCCCATATATAGCCCCAGTAGCTGAGTGCATCATAAAGCCCCGATGACACGGCCATAATCTAGGGGGGCAAAGATAGCGGTGGCTTTGGTTGCAGTTTTCGTGAAATCGAACGGCGTTGGCCACTGCAAGTAACGCCAGGGGGGCGAGCGCCGAGCGCGCAACGATGACCATCGTAAAGTGATGTCTCTAAATATATGTCAAGATCAATTCGCACGGTTCAAAAATTACACTATACATATGGGATACTATATGGAAGATTTCTTTTAGAACTTTGAGGTTGCGTTCTGGACACATAACCAGTTACAGCAGCATGAGAAAAATAGATTTTATCCTTGCTCTTTCAGTTCCACCAGATTTCAGTACCCCTTCGCCGTGCTGTGAAGATCAGTGCGTTATTGTCATCGATCTGAAAACCACACAGGTGAAAGGCACATCCGGAATGTTTCTAAATGTACGACGTGGTTTCTTGGAGTGTTCAGAGGTACCTCGTTCAGATGCGTTGCCATTTTCGTCCACCTGCTGAGCGCGGCCTAATATTAGCCTCGGGCGGACACTAGACGCCAGGCCTGTGGGGACTGCAACGCCTGGCATGGAGTTTTTTGTTGCTAAGATATGCGAGTTCGCATGCTCAAAACTATGTTACATAATTTGCACCATTACTGGACTCTGACTGAATCCTGAATATATCCAGACGAACATGGTCAGGCCATGTTAATACAAATGGTCGACCCATTTCGAATTCAAACGACATTCGCGGAATCCTTTTTATCCCTGTACAGCCCAGATACAATTTTCACAAGGTTTCTAAGTTTTATCGGTATAAAAAGAGTCCATATATATATATATATATATATATATATATATATATATATATATATATATATATATTAAAGCTAAGGAAAAACATGTCCTCAATCATTAATGGGCCATATCCAGCGATTTTTTGGGCGGCTTTTTAATATCAGAGGTCCTTTGTCAACCCCGTGCCCCCCCCCCCTCCCTTGCCAAGGCTCTGGCTGCGCCCCTGAGTTCTGCTCAAGGGATGACTCAATATGTATGCAATGAAGTGTTACAGTATAGAAAAACCCATAGTTCCATGACAGTCAACCAGTTCAGAGAAAGATGAACGACCTGAAAGTTCGATCGTTTCGGGAGCAGAGCTCCACCCGAGCCCCTGCGGGGCATGACCCCGAGACGATGCCGAGTGCAGTTGGATTCCTATTAGAGCCGGGGATTCGGCGTATTTGGTATTCAAATCCCAGGGGATATGAAGTCGGGTACATGCTTCTCGGATAAGTGTAATCGTATAGATGTGACTGCATCGAAATATTGACCACACACGCTATGCCACAAAGGACAAAGGACGACGGGGGGGGGGGGGGGAGGAGGCAATGGTATGCGTGGCGAATTGGTAAAACATGCACATCTTAATCAAGCTCGAAAAGGAAATATCCTCTTTGAAAATGAGTGAGCACATGCGCGAGCTCATCAAATAAAATGATAGGCACGCTGACAATAACAATTCGTCAATCAGACGGCATACACAGAACAACATCCATTTTTAAAGTGATACGTACCCAAAACATACACCCGAGTCGGCATGGCGCCGGCTCTTCCAATCCGGAGGTTGGTGCTCCTTTCTCCTCCTCCCTCCCCTCCTCGTCCTCCGCAGGGTGCCCATTCGTTTGGCCGGGACGGCCGCTGCTCCTCGCTCTTCCTCTCTCCCCTCCTCATCCTGCGTCGGTTCACGCGCGCGTCCGGGGCCGGCGGCGCCGCGTGACGCACCGCCTGCTGGCGCGCCTCGACCCGGCCGCGGCCGTGTCCGTGTGAGCCGGGCCGAGCCCAGGAGGCGGCGGCGGGCGCTCAGTACCCGCCCGGGCGCCGACCAGCAACGTACGCGCTGCGTGAGTGGGGTTTCCGGAGCCTGCGCGGCTCGTGAGTGGCGGCGGCGGTGACGCGCCGGGCGCTAGGGTCGGCGCGGGCTGAACCGGTCGCTGAAGCCCGTGGTGCAGCCGGACCAGCCACCGGAGCTAGCGGCGCAGTCGGACCAGCGGACTGGCTGGGCTGAGCCGCTGTGCTGCCTGCGGAGCGGAATCGCTGTGCGGACGCTAGTGAGGCTTCGACGCCATCCGTCCCGCGGGTCAAGGCCAGGCGCGCTGCGTGTGTCTGCCTGCCGGGGGTGGAGTGTTCGGAGCTCGGCCGAACGGACGGCACTGAAGACAAACGAAACCGAGCTCCGGCCTGTGTGCGGTTGGACCGCCAGTTACCGGACACGTAACGGCGTCAAGTGCTGTTTGTTTGCTCGACTTTGGAAAACATGACAGGTGAGGTGTGAACTAGCACAGCTGGAGTGTAACTTCCGCTGTAATATGACACCAGTAGCACCATTGCACGTTGTGCCCTTGATTGCTTCGGAAGGATAACATGCGTACACGCAAGCATCTCACGCAAATTATTTCATTGTGTTAGAAAACAAAACAATCGTTCGCTGCACGCCCGGGTGCGCGCCCTGGTGCGTGTATAGCAGACGGTCAGACCACGCTTCACGGCTGCAAGTCCACGCAATGATGGCTCGCCCACAGTCCGAACGGTCCGACAAATTCAAGCTGGCAGTACCAGCCGACA